CAGCAACCCTCAGTTTGTTTCCTGAGATTAAGAATTCCTCATATCAGTGAGGTCATATGATACATGTCTTTCTCTGATTGACTTATTTTGCTCATATGCCCCTTTCTCTTGAATATGAGTGATTCTGTCACTACTTTAACTAAGAGACCACACTAGAAATGACACTGTGCCAGTTTCCAGATTGGCAGCTTCCACTTCTTGTCTTTGGAACACCCACTCTACAGAAGCCAGCTGGGAAGTAACAAGTCTGAGTTAGGTTTCCTTGTTTTGGGCCAGGATCTTCAGGAAAATGTGGTATAGCACAACCTTGTTCCAACCCCAGACTTAGTGAAGAAGTCATCAATATCTTTCTTTAGGACACTAAGTTCCTTTTTATTTCTAATTTGCTAAGAGTTTTATCATGAATGACATTTCAAGTTAATCAAAGGGTTTTTTTCCTGCATCCATTGAGAAGGTTATGTGATACTTTTTTTTTCCCCCGCTATGGTGAATTACTAATGTATTTCCAATATTAAACAACGATTGTATTCCCTGACTAAACCCATCATGATCCTGATATTATGTCCTCTTTATATATGGCTAGATTATATTTGCAAATGTTTGTTTAAAATATACTGTGAAAAAAATTCTTCTCAATTTGATATATAGGTTCAAATGCAATTCAATACAAATCCCACTCTTTATTAAAAAGAATATGTTGCTTTTGATATTAACAGGCTGATTCTAAAATTTATATAGAAATGAAGAGTCAAGGATATTCAAGACAATGTTAAAAAAAGATACACCACAGATTTAAAAAGTTATAGAAATTTAGATAGTATAATATTGATACAAGGATAAACAAATAAAACAAAGGACCAAAATAATCCACAAATAAACCTACACATGACTTATGACATCACTCGATTTATGACAAATAAGACATTGGGGAGTGGAGAAAGGGTGGATCTTTCCCATCAATAATGCAAGGTCAGTTGGTATTCATGTGGAAAAAAGTAAAAACTGACCCCCTACATTCCCCCTGCCAAATCTATCCCAGATGGATTGTTGATATAAATATAAAAGGTACAAAAATAAAATAAGCTTTCTAAAAGTTAACATAAAAAATATGTGCATGACTTTTGGTTAGGTACAGAATTCTTAAATATGACACAAGATACCAACCATAAAATCAGATTAATGAAATGGACTACATTAAAATTAGTAACTGTTCCTCAAAAACAACATTAAAAGATTATAAAAGGTAAACTACAGAGTGGGAGAAGATATTTTTACCAGATCTTACCAAAAAGGACTAATACCGAGAATATGTAATGAGCCTAGACAAATTAGTGAGGAAGAAGGACAAACCAGCTGAAAATGGGGGAAAAAAACAAAACAAAACAAAAAAACCTGAATGGGGATGTCACAAAAGAGAATATGCAAATGCCCAATAAACATACAAAAACATTCTGTAGGTCATTCCTCATCAGGGTGATGCAATTTAAAGTCATAATGTGATAATATTACAGACCTACAAGAATGCTAAAACTAAACAGACTGATAATACATTGCCAGAATTTGGAACTCTCACACATGGGTGATGAGGATGGAACTTGGTTCAACCACTGAGGAAAATTTATTGACTAAAATGACCATATACATTCCCTATAACTCAGTATTTCTACTCTTAGATATATACCCAATATAAATATATTCATACATATACCTAAAAATATATTTAAGAGTTTTCATAGCAGCATTATTCAAAATACACCCAACTGAAGGCAACCCAAATTTGTATCAAGAGTAGCATAGATAAATAAATGTCCTATATTCATAAAATGACAATACATCAGTTAAAATAAATGAAATATTACAACAATGTGGAGAAATCTCACAATGAAACAAGATGTATACAAAGGAATACATTTTGTTTGATTCTATTTACATGGAGTTCAGAAACAGGTAAAGCTAAGCTATGCTATTAGCTGTTAGAATAGTAATAAAAATTCGGTCGGGGGGCGGAGCAAGATGGCGGAGGAGTAGGAGACCTGGATTTCGTCTCCTCTCAGGAATTCAGCTGGATAGGGATCAAACCATTATGAACA